GACGGCGACGACGACTACTAATAATAATCATACTACTACTACTACTACTACTACTACTACTACTACTACTACTACTACTACTGCTACTGCTACTGCTACTGCTACTGCTACTACTACTACTCCTGCTGCTACTACTACTACTACTACTATTACTACTACTACTACTGTTCATCCTCGTGCGGCTGCTGCCGCTCTACGACTAAGTTTACGACTACGACTGCGACTACGACGACGGCGACTGCGACTGCGACTGCGGCTGCGGCTGCGGCTGCGGCTGCGGCTGCGGCTGCGGCTGCGGCTGCGGCTGCGGCTGCGGCCGACTGCGGCTGCGACGACAATACTATTGACTATTGCTACTAGAACGAATACTACTACCACCACCACCACCACCACCACCACTACCACTACCACTACTACTACTACTACTACTACTACTACTACTACGAATACCACACGCTGCCGCTGCCATTTACTGCCACCACCACGACCAACCTCACTTGCAGCTCCGACCACCACCATCAACATTATGTTCTTAGCACCATGATTGGCCCGGTGAGGAAGTCTCATACAAGCTCAAGTGCCTTTTAGTGTCGTCGTCATTACAGTACTTCCTCTTTCCATCCTTCTTGTTCTTCTTATGACCACACCCTGCACTCTGCTCTAAACCCAAAGCCCTACCCTTCGTGTTGAGCTTGGGGTGTCAGGACCCATCACGACGACGGGTTCTCCGACTCATCCGGTGCACTCCTCCTGTGGTCAGCTTCACGACCGGCCAGGGCCTCGCAGGAATTGGGCACCTACAGTTATAGTATGGGATTTATGATAAGCTATGGAAAACTTACCCACCTACCCACCTACCCACCTACCCACCTGCCTACTTGCGTACCTACCTATCTGCCCATCTACCTAGCCTAGCTACCGAGCTACCTGGCTACCTAGCTGCCTTCTATCTATCTGTTTATCTGTCATATCGTAACGTTTCCTGTCGTGTCGTGTTGCATAGTGTCGTTTCTTATCATGCTGTACGATAGCATAGCATGGCACGCCATGGCACGGTGCGGGACGTCACGGGACGACACGAGACGGCACGGCGTCGCATCGCATAGCACAGTATGGAGACAGCATGGCGCATCATATGCACACCTAATTAATGGTTATGTTATGTAAGCCTGTAGATCTGCAAACCTGTGTCGTCTGTCTGTCAGTCTGTCAGCAAGTACTATGTTATGTCATGTCATGCCATACCATGTCTTGCCATGTCATGTCATGTCATGTAGTGTAATGTACTGTACTGTAATGTAATGTACAGTGATTGAAAGCCGCATGAGTTCCTCGCACGATCTGGAGATATTGGGCTAGCCATGAGCAGGCAAGCACGTGCTGTATGCCTAGGTCTCCATTGCCACACCCATATCTATACCCATGTCCTTACTTCACTCTCTCTCTCTCTCTATCTCTTTCTCTTCATCTTGCATATGTGTATATGTATATATATGTATGTATGCAAATAAATAAATAAATAAATATATATATATATATATATATATACTTACACACCCACATACATGCATACCTACATGCATACATGCATACATACATACATACATACATACATACATACATACATATCCAGAGTTCAGATTCGCACCCAGCCTAGAATGCACGCAAATGCTGCTGGGCTTCTGGCCAGGACATTCGGCCAAGATGCATTGCCACAACATGTCACCTTCTTGGTCTCTCGAGCCAGGTGCGGAGGAGACATGTACACAGGCAGCAGCTGCTGCGTGTCGGGCCTTCGCTGCGAGTACAAGGCTGTGGGGGAAGAAGAGTTGCAATCTTGTCCTTGAAAGAAATAAGCGGGTGCTGACAACATACGAAACAGCTGTGTCTTTTCGACGGAGCTGTGGAGGACTCTAAGTACTCGCAGTGCGTCATGGACGAATCCAGCACGCAAACCTGCGCGCAGATCTGGCAACAGTGCCTCTGCTGCATCATCTCGTTTGCTACTTCAGCACGGGTGTCGAAGGGGTTCGTTGGCCCCTACGTCGACTGACAAGTGAGAAGCTGCAGCACAGGCTTCGGAAAATCTTTGCTGACGCAAAAGGGTGGTGGTAGTTAGCCTGTCCGGGATCACAACATACTCTAAGGTGTGGCGGTGCTGGCTGGACTGGCAGCTTGTATGCACGCAGAAGTCTTCGGGGTTGCAGCAAGGCCCGCAGTCGCAGTGAAAGGCCATATCTCGCTTTATTTTATTCACAGCAGAGCTTGCTTCGCAGATTCGTGCCAAGTTTGCTTTAGCATCCTCTCGAAAGAGTTCCGAGTTCCCCTGCCTTGAAACCGTATTGGCTCCATGACCCCAAGCCCCCAACCCTGCCTTGGCGCAGCTCTGCCCCAGGCTCCGAATGCTGCGTTGAGGGCCTGACCTGTGTCTGGGGCAACGAGCACTACTCCCAGTGCCTGCACCTTGCCTTCACTTGATTTCGAGTTGAGAGTGGCCCGACCAAGCGTAGCTGAGTTCCTTCGCTTAAGTCTGGAGGGTTTAGGTTTACCCCTAAACCCTAAACCCTAAACCCTAAAGATCCGTGTACTCTTCGAAACCTCCCGGTCTTCAGCGCGAGAATCCCCGAACTCCAGGTCCCAGAACCCGCCAAACTCTGCCTTCACCCAGTTCAAGCGGAAGCATGGGCGATGGCATCCTGTAGTAGGTAGTCTGTTCCTTATTAGGGAGTTCCGCAAACTAGGGTACCTTATTCTGGGGTCCTTATAATAAGGATCCTATTATTTAGGGTACTACATTAGGGTCCCCTATTTTCGGAAACCCCCCTTATAGTCCTGCTACAGCATGTCGCCCATGCGCTCGAATATGTTCACAGGCGTCTTCCCGGCTCCCTTATCGAAGGAACTGTTCAGGACCCATCCGTGAGGGTTTGAGGCCTAAAGATATGCAGGGTTTCCTGCAAGGTTTAGGGGCTTGGGTTTCTAAGCTTGGGAACTTCCGAGGTTGAAGGAGTGGTGTCTTCAAGACACCACATTCAGCCTTGAAAGGCTATGTTCGGATTTGGCGAGATGTCTTGAACATTAAACCGGTAAACTTCCGAAACCCCCATGGCCCCAAGAAGTGATCTGCAACACCCCGATCTCTGGAGCCTTGAACTTCACAAAATGAGCTAGCTCAAAGTTACACCCCTGCCCTGGAACCTTTCAGCCCTAAAGCCTTAAATCCCAAAAAGACCCGCCAGAGCCCTAAGCCTTAAACAGAAGGTCCCAAGTTTTCGGAGATGCAGCTCTCAGAAGCGTAAGCTCTCCTAAGCCTGCTGGCTTGAAGTGAAAGTTAAAGGTAACCCCAGCTGCTTAAAGTCTGGAGTTTTATGGCTCGAGGTGTTTCTGTGAGCGGTTTTTTTTCTTCTTTTTCCGCTGTGTGTTGTGTGTGTGTGTGTCTGCGTGTGATGGTCTAGCAAATCCCACAGGGTGCGACTGGAGTTTGCAACCAAGTTGCAAAAACCCTGCACCCCAAACCCCTAAAGTTGAAGTTTGGTGACTGCTTTAGATAGAGACGATCTCCTTAAGCAAACTTCTTCCTCCCACACAGAATTGTGGTCAGCCGTCTGCAGGAGGTGTCGGTCGAAAAGCGAACGCGCCTCCGCAAGTCAAGGTCGGGGGCATTCGTGTCATGCAGTCTTGAACCGTCCTTTCATGGTTTCAATGTCTTTGAATGGGTAGTAGGTTGGATAGTATAATGGGTGCATAAATACATGCACACGGTTTGACTTATCCGCGAAGGTAATATCCACGAATGTGTGCTTCGGTATCCTTTTCTCTCCCTTGTTGCCTCTCTCACTCCTGCGTCTGTCTGAGCGTGTTGTTTTTATCTTTTGCTGTTTCTCCACATATCGATCCATATTGATTATATCGGACGGCTGCGGATTTGAGTCAGACTGTAGTCCAACATACATGCAGCACTGCTGGCTGTGCACTACCATGTGACAGGAATCGGATGCTCAACATCATGTCTTTGGCATTCGCCCTGCTCCGACCTCATCTGGTCGTATCAAGGTCACATCACCATCCTTTGTGCTTTCGCTCTCGTCTGACCTCATCTGGTCGCTCAGACCTTGCCGATAGTTGCACCGTGTTGAGTTGACCAGGTCTTGTGATCGTGCAAGCTAAGCCCTTCGCATCCCACCGCGTCTCTTCAACCTGAGCAGGCGCGCTGCTGCGCTGGAGTCACGGCCGTGGCTGGTGCAACGCCGCGCTGTCACTGCCAAAGTCAAAGAAAGTGAGCTGTAGGCGTGCATTTGCACAGCAAACTTCCTTTGCCGCCATTGGAACCACAGGCCTAGTCGGCCTAAAGAGGGGATTTTGTAGCTGGCTCTCGTCACTCCAGCTGTTTTGTTGGATTGAATGATGGCAAGGGAGCTGCTTGATTTCGGTTTTGAACGTTTGCAGCAGAAGGCTACACCCGTTTTTGGCCCTCTTGCTGCACCAATTCAGTCTGCGTAAGGGTTCGGTTGTCACCTCAGACAGCACGAAGAAAGCTTCTGCAGCTCTATGAACTGAACTCTTTGGCTGGGCTTCTCAAGAGTCGCTGGGCAAACACAGGGAGGGGGGTAGGTCCCTCCCAAGCGCCAGGCGCCTGACATGCATAGATGCATAAGGTACCAGCTACAGACATGCTGGTTCATGTTTCGATTTCCAAAATCCTTCGGGTGCAAAGAATCTGGACCCCACCGTGGTCACAAGTTGCTGCTGTGTGGGGCATCCTGGTTGCCGCCTGCTGGTGAGATATCTGGGTAGCTCGAGCATCGAAATCAGCATGAGCATGCGAGGTTGTTCTGTGAGCGCGTTTGCTTCGAAGGTAGCGTCCTGCCGAAGCAGTAGTTGCCAAGTAAGCGAGTTAAACAGAGACCAGGTTCCGTGCGCGTTGAGCCTTGAGCAGGCTGGATATTGATGAACATTTGCCCTTTATCATGATCGCAGGTAATTGGGTAAGCATTTCTGGAATGCGTCCCGCATCACGTTGCTACAGGTGATGTGCCTTAAGCCCCGCCTCGACAGATTCCGGGATTTATGCAGTTGTGATCCTGCTTGGGGACAGACTAAGAGCTTGTCACTTGATCAAGGACATTCGAGCTGTGAGCTCGGATGTCGTTCTCGTGGAAATTCGCTGTGGCGGACGCTTTTTGGGCGGTTTGGACACACATGTTGAGGCTTCAGCAAGCCAGGACGAATAAACAAGCTGCTGAGCGAAGTTTCAGAGTCGGCTGGCAAGCTTGCAGGGCCCAAAGTGTTTCCTACTTGGTAGCCGCAGGCAAGGTTCAGGGTGTGCCAGCTTCAGTACTCAGGTTTTTTGAGCTTCTTTGGTCTCGTGGCCTTTGCGAGTTTCCGATTCTTTGGCCCGTGCCGATTGTCCTTTTATCTGCAGAGAAGGCTGCTGTTTCAGTCATGAGATTAGAGTCCTCTTCACATCTGGTGCCGCCGACCCCGCAAAATGTAGAGAAGCTATCCCTACCCTACACAACACTCCTAAGCCCCATCAGCAAAACCGGAAGCCCGAGCTCGATTCCCCCAAAAACTGCGCAATGGCCGTGCTGGAGCGAGAAGTGCTTGTAGAAGCGCTGCGGGAGGCACTGCTAGGTGCCCTCTGGGCTTCTTCGACTGTTGGGTTCGAGGCTCTCGTCTCACGGGTTCAGGGTTTCGGGTTCAGGGCGGTTTAGGGTTTAGGGTCCTGTGACTAGGTAGGATCGCGACCAGAAGGCAGCCTGCTTTTTCACGCTTTTTCGCATCGCTTTCGGGCTCAGCTTCTGTGTCGCGGCAACCTTCGTTTTCCAGTAATTTTGAAGATATGGTGTGTACTAGTAGTAGGAGAAGCAACGTCGAAGTTGATCTCATGTTGGATGAATGCGTTCTCTTCTCTTGTCTCCTCTTCCTTCCATCTGCTTCCGCCTTTCCATGGTTTTTGTTTGCGCTTTTTGTCTCATGCTCTCCCGGGGGTCTCGCTTTCGGGGGGCTGGGAAAGCTGAGCTCTGCTTATTGCGGGGCTTCGGAGCTGGAGGTACCAGAAGACGACGTGGTGTTCTATACGGGGTTATTTCTGCGAGTTTTACAGGGTAGACCCTAAACCCCAAACCCCAAACCCCAAACCCCAAACCCCAAACCCTAAACCCTAAACCCTAAACCCTAAACCCCAAACCCCAAACCCTAATCCCTTGATTGATATGAGAGGAGGTCTACGAAACTCATGGGGCGAGTCGGGGGCCTGTGTGTTCCCCCCTTCGAAGTGCCCCAAGTCAGGTGCGATAGAGCAGAAGTTGGAGCAGCACAAGGCCAGAAGCCGCATGAGGGTCCGGGAATAGGGTACGGAATAGGGGCCTGAATAGCTTGAAATAATATTCTGAAGGGTTCCTTTGATCACTATAGCGCATGATGCCTCAAGCACTGTCCCCTTTTGTTGTGGCACTCGATTTTTTGGGTTTCAGGTCGCCTGGCCCCGGAAGTCTTCAGTTTCTACACTCGCAGAATCTCCTCCTCTGATCGTCTTCGTCCTCGTGGCACTTGAAGCTGTCACATGTGACCCAGAGGCTCAGAGAGGTAAACTTTAGACGTTCTGGGCGCCCCTGCCACAATGTGTGAAGCAATAAGAACCCGAGACGTACTACCCACCTTGGATTCGAGTCGCACATTGGTGCTTCTGAGCGTTTGGCAAGGCGGAGCTGTTGTTGGCCTTCAAGGGCAAGGCGCTGTCGCAAGGAAATCTCCAGCTGGAGGACGGGCAGTTGAGGATTCAGGAGCTTAGGCTTTGGTTGAGGCGTTCAGGGCTGGGATCATGATTTCGAAGGTTCGAAAGCCAACCCGTCTCACAACAATGCTGTCACATGGCTTGAACTTGAATTTTTGAAAGGTTTTGGAAAGGGTTTTGTGGTCCACTGTTTTCCACTTTCCTGTTTTCTTGTGCGGCAGGTGTTTCCTTAAGTTCACCGCTTGCAAACTTCTAGTTTGTTCGTTAGGCTTGAGTCGTTGTGCTTGTGGCGCGACGTTGTCCCGCAAGTTTTGCCGTCCAGAATTCCCAACTTATAGCATGAGTCCGTATAGTTAAGAACCGGGTGCACGCTGTTGGCCATGGCACGCAACCATGTATGGAGCTTCGCATGGCTGACAAGAGTTTAGCGTCAGCTTCTGTTGCAGCCTCGCCGTTACGGTCTAAGATCCGCAAACACGAAGCCAGCCTCGCAGTCCTACGCTCGATGCACAAGTCACTGGGCTCCAGGAGAATATTTTCGCAGGGGAGATCGGCCAGGCAAAAGACATGGGGTGTGGGTTCAGGCAGTTGTGCTGTCAGGCTTCGGTTTCAGAGTGGAGTTTGCCCATGCCGGCGATTGCTTTGCCGAAGGCTTTGCCGCATGCTGGCACGTGTTGTCGTCGGGTCATGGGCGGCGTCACCAGTATATTTGCCTGCATGATGACCGTGGTAACCTCTTGCCACGACTCCACTGCCGCCACTGCCGCTGTTGCTGCTGATGACAATTCTAACCTGAATTGCTGCCAGGAAGGTGCTGGTGCTTGGCCTTCTGCTTCTTGCGGTGGCGGTGATGGTTGCTGCTGCTTCTGCTGCTGCTGCTGCCGTTGATAGGAGGCATCTGTGAAATGCAAACCTACCGGCACGGATCACACCCTGTGAACTTTGCAGATGTCGCTGCGCGCCGCCACAGGTGTCAGCCAGTTTGGGCCGGTCATGGTTTGACCAGAGCCATCCTGCTGAATTTAGATGTTCTCTCCACGGGAGGTGAGCTGAAGGTCACGGGCAGATCAGCAGTTGCAGCGGCTTGTCGTGCTTCCCAGACCACTGTCTCTCACTGCTACGGCCTCTTGCAAGCCCTTTTTTTCGCTCCGCCCCTTGTTAGTTCGCTCAGGCCGCACTGTCGCGGAGAAGATCGGCAAAAGGGTTTGGGATGAACCCCACAGGGAGGACCATTCCGAGGAGCTGCTTGGCAGGGCAGTCACCTCCCTCGAGCCGAAGCGACTCAAGAGCTTCAGCTGCTACGGATCTCAGGCCCATGGCTATCCTGCCACTGCCGCAGAGGATTTCCGTGCAGCCGCCAGAAGAAGATGTGCCGGGTTTGGTTCCCAAGGCCAGGTATTACGGCATGTCCATGAATTCGACGATCCAACGGTGGGTTAGAATGATCTTCTTTGCCTCTTCAGCTGTTGTCCCAGGACAGAATTTCTTGGACACCAATCTCTTTCTCGCTGTTGGTTCTGTTAGTCAGGATTGACCGAAACTTTCATTCTGTGTCATGACGTACCGCAACAGTACTGTTGCACTACTGATACGCATATCAAGAATCGTAAGGAATAATACGAATACCGATCTTGGCAGGCGATCTTGCGGCCGACCGGCTCAGAGACTCACGCAGGGGCATCGCCCACGGTTCACAGCGTGCAGGTGCGCCTGTCGCATCAACGAGGGCTGCATAGCTGCTTTGAAGAAATGTTACTAGTGGTGCTGTGGATTTCGAAAGCTCTCTAAACCCTGATGCTGCTTGAAGTTCTACTCTGACTCTTGTAGCTCCGGAGTTGTGAGGTCTTGTGGACGCCAGAGCCTTCAACTGCGAAACCCAAGAAGGCATATGAGCCCCAGCCACAACACAAACAGCTTCTTCTAAACCCTGCCAGCAAAGACTCGAACATCTGTTGCAAATCCGGATCCTGAAAGCCGCAGGTGGTCTCCCAAAATGAGATTCTGGGGATGGACGTGCGAGAGAACTGCACTGGAACAGGCTGTTCCTCTTCAGCCTTCCAGGAGTGGGGGGGGGGGGGGGGGGCTTCGGGGAAGCCAGCATTATCCGAAACCCTCAAAGCCCAGTAGATGTCCCAGGCTTACGAAGCTATTCCCAGGAGCAAGGCGCCTGTGGCATCCTTCTTCGCTGGGCCTTCCTGCTCAAGGGCCTGATCCTTGCACTCTTCCTCTCGGAGTTGGTCTTGGCCCGTCGGGCACAATGATAGCAGTAGCCGTGGTCCGAGCAATTGTCACACATGTTCCAAGACAGTAGCAGAAGCGACAGCGGCAGCAGTAGCAGCACGACGACGACAACGACGGTGACGACGACGACCGTCGCTCATGCAGCCAGCCATGACTCAAACTGGTAGCAGCAATGCCGAATCCTAAAGTGTTCAATCCCACTGCTTCAATTGTTTTCTTCTTGAGCCCAGCAGGCGATTCTGGTCCTTCAGTACGGCCACGTGCATGGGGTGGCCTGGGACTTTACCGCGGTTTCACTGAACCTTCGAGCCCATAAGCACAAGCTTTTTCGACGGTTAGTTCGCAGTTGGCTATAGGGTTGGTGCCGTCATTTGCCGAGGGATTCTAGGGCCCTGAAAGTTGGCTCCGCAGTTTACACGGCAGATCAAGATGTAGGGTCGGAGTTTCAACAATGCAGTCACTCCAACCTTGCTCCCCGAGGACTGTCTACTTCATGGTGGGCTACGGTGGCGTGGTGCTTCTTGCTCAGGCCTTTGCGTCCGAGGCCCGCCGGCACGAGAGCCCTAGTCATGACAACAGGAACACGCAGGAATTCATACAAGCAGTGTTCAATACACTTACTCGTACTACACAGTGTGTCGTGTCACAGAGACTGAAACCAGAATGTGAGTAGCAAGCTTACGAGCAATGCCATGCCATGCTTGTGCTGCCAGCACTGTGTGCTGAAGTAGTAGCCGCAGTAGTAGGACGACTGCCAGCAGCATTGGCAGCTGTGGTGGTATGTGTCTCAGGCGTAGTCTGCGTCGTAGTAGTGCTGGTACTGCGGTTCCTGCTCCTACTCCGACCGCACCCCACGCAAATCCAACTGCTACTGTTGGTCCTGCCGCACATCGTCGACTACTACTACCACTACCACTACCACTACCACTACCACTACTGCTACTGCTACTTCTACTACTGCTACTCCTACTACTACTACTACTACTACTACTGGTACTACTACTGCTACTACTGCTACTACTACTACTACTACTACTACTACTACTACTAATATTTCTACTTCTGCTTCTACTTCTACTTCTACTAC